ATAATCATCCACTTAGTGATTGGTCAACGGAATCAATGGCAGAATAGAGAGAAAGATGGGATGGTGAAGAGTCCAATATTGCTCAGAGATAAAAGAACAGGACGATGGAGAGCCATAATCATCCACTTAGTGATTAATGGCAGAACAGAGAGAAGATGGGATGGGTGAAGAGTCCAATATTGCTCAGAGATACAAAGAACAGGACGATGGAGAGCCATAATCATCCAAATGATTGGCCAAGTCATATAAAAACGTGTAGCAATGGCAGAACAGAGAAGATGGGATGGTGAAGAGTCCAATATTGCTCAGAGATACAAAGAACAGGACGATGCCATAATCATTTAGTGATTGGCCAAGCATATAAAGGACGTAGCAAATGGCAGAACAGAGAGAAGATGGGATGGTGAAGAGTCCAATATTGCTTACAAAGAACAGGACGATGTGGAGAGCCATAATCATCCACTTAATGATTGGCCAAGTCATATAAAGGACGTGTAGCAATGGCAGAACAGAGAGAAGATGGGATGGTGAAGAGTCCAATATTGCTCAGAGATACAAAGAACAGGACGATGAGAGCCACATCCACTTAATGATTGCCAAATATAAAGGACGTGTAGCAATGGCAGAACAGAGAGAAGATGGGATGGTGAAGAGTCCAATATTGCTCAGAGATACAAAGAACAGGACGATGTGGAGAGCCATAATCATCCACTTAATGATTGGCCAAGTCATATAAAGGACGTGTAGCAATGGCAGAACAGAGAGAAGATGGGATGGTGAAGAGTCCAATATTGCTCAGAGATACAAAGAACAGGACGATGTGGAGAGCCATAATCATCCACTTAATGATTGGGAACAATGGCAGAACAGAGAGAAGATGGATGGTGAAGAGTCCATTGCTCAGAGATACAAAGAACAGGACGATGGAGAGCCAAATCATCCACTTAAGTGATTGGTCAAGTCATATAAAGGACGTAGCAATGGCAGAACAGAGAGAAGATGGGATGGTGAAGAGTCCAATATTGGAGATACAAAAGAACAGGACGATGAAGAATCATCCACTTAATGATCCAAGTCATATAAAGGATTTAGCAATGGCAGAACAGAGATGGGATGGTGAAGAGTCCAATATTGCCCAGAGATACAAAGAACAGGACGATGTGGAGAGCCATAATCATCCACTTAATGATTGGCCAAGTCATATAAAGGACGTGTAGCAATGGCAGAACAGAGAGAAGATGGGATGGTGAAGAGTCCAATATTGTTAAGATACAAAGAACAGGACATCCAATTGGCCAACAGAACGAAGATGGGATGGTGAAGAGTCCAATATTGCTCGAGAGACAAAAGAACAGGACGATGTGGAGAGCCATAATCATCCACTTAATGATTGGCCAAGTCATATAAAGGACGTGTAGCAATGGCAGAACAGAGAGAAGATGGGATGGTGAAGAGTCCAATATTGCTCAGAGATACAAAGAACAGGACGATGTGGAGAGCCATAATCATCCACTTAGTGATTGGCCAAGTCATATAAAAGAAGATTATAGATGGTAGAATAGGGAAGATGGAATGGTGAAGAATATTTCAGTCGATGGAAGCCATAATCATCCACTGCCCACATATAAAGGACGTGTAGCAGAACAGAAGAAGTGATGGTGAAGAGTCAATTATCCCTCAAAGAACTGTTGATGGACGAATTTACCTAAAGGACGTGTAGCAATGGCAGAACAGAGAGAAGATGGGATGAAAGGAATATTGCTCAGAATACAAAACAGGACGATGTGGAGAGCCATGGTCAAGTTATAAAGGACGTTATCAGAGAGAAGATGGATGGTGAAGAGTCCAATATTTCCAGAGATACAAAGAACAGGACGATGTGGAGAGCCATAATCATTTGCTTGGCCAAGTCTGGCTGTAGCAATGGCAAACAGAGAAGATGGATGTTGAAGAGTCCAATATTGGATACAAAGAAAGGACGATAACCATCCATCCACCAAGAATATAAGGACGTAATGGCAGAACAGAAGAAGATGGGATAGTTCCAATATTTCCCAGAGATCGATTGGAGAGCCATAATCATCCACTTAATGATTGGCCAAGTCATATATTTTGTGGCAATGGCACAGAGAGAAGATTATCCAATATTGCTCAGAGACACAAAGAACAACGATTTAGCCATAATCATCCACTTAGTGATTCCAAGTCATATAAAAGAAGATTATTTATCCCTCACTGTTGATGGACGAATTTTCAAAAGATGTAATGATGACAGGACAAGAAAAAAGTGTGTGTTTAAATTATCAAGTATGGCTTAGAGCTACAAGGAACAGCTCTGGTCATTCATTTGCTGTCTGGCTAAGTTGAAGGATGTTGTGGAGAAACATAACCATCCACGACCCGAATAGAAGCAGCACAGAAAAATAGATATTTTGTTTCTTTCTTCTACTTCTCGATAACTTCTTATATTTTGTAAGTAACCACATTTATATTGAATACGTTCTTTAGAAAAAAAAAAACATGGCGGGAACAGAAACAACGATGAGAACACAGGACTAGAGTAGAACTATTCGTTGATTTCATATTGTCCCTTCCCTCTAATTGATACGAGAATATTTACAGAAAAGAGGCTTCTTCCGTTTCATGACGTTATTGTTCGCAGCCATTTGTACAATTAAGGTTGTTTCTATATTTTTCGATTTCAATATTTCTCGTAATTATTGTCGAAGACATAAACGTGGCAATCTCGATTGGGAAAATTAGGTTTTCGTTTTGCACTTTCTTTTTCTGCTCTCTCATTGGCTGGCTGGCCTTTATTTACCGCAAGGCTGTTTTATTTCGAAAAACGGTCGAAATAAATGGTTAAATAAGAAAATACAGCAGTGTGCCATCGAAATCGATAGAGGCATAGAGATTCATGCAATCGTAGCCGCACCTTGCAACACACGTGCACATGAATACATGGCGACACGGAGAGGGATACATGCACATACACGTGCATTGGGTGAATACGATACGAAAATTTCTATACATCAGAACAATCTTGCGTAATGAATAGAAAAATGGAGAACGTTTCGTGTAACGTGTTTCGTTCTCTAAAGGGACTTCATCAGACAGAAATAAGGTTCTTATTGGTATAATTATATTTGCTAGTTTTAAGCCGGGAAATGTCCACGGTTTTCCTTTTTCTGTTGAATCTTAAATCTTCAGTTAATGATTGAGTAAGCTCATGGCGAGTTTTACGACAAAAATTATCCGTAGTAATTGCATTATCTTTAAACATGTAGAGGACCGTGTCGGTAATGTGTAAAGAACACATGTGGGTTAAAATGTCCTGCTAGCCGGCCCAGCTACATGAGAATGTTGGACTTTAATTAAGGCCAAAGAAAACAAACAAGACCGATAATTATATACAGTGTAACCCGGATATAAGAGAGTTGTCGGGACCGGAGAAGAAGTCTCTTATATCCGGGTTTCTCTTATATCCGGGTTTGGTCTATTTTATATACATTAACACAGGCTCTAATTTGGGACCAGATAAAATCTCTCTTATATCCGGTTTTCTCTTATATCCGGGTCTCTTATATCCGGGTTACACTGTACAAACAAATGTATGTATTAACAAAGGGTTACAAGCACATGGACAATTACATTGAGTGCGTGTAGTAAATATTATGTGTGCGTATTGTGGTGAGTGTTCGTACGTACGTGTATTGTTCTTAGCGTGTTCTCAGAATTTGGGAAACGCTGTATCTGTGAGAGCTGCGAGGTGGTATAAGGTCCAAGGCCTGAGGAAAAAAAAAGAGATCGAGGCAAAAGGGTCACCCAGTATTTATAGAGGCCCCTGGTGAAAGGTTAAGGAACTAAAGGAGGATCTAACTGCGACAAACATTTGCGCTTATGAACCAAATATTGCAATGACAATCATAAACATGTTTTGTAGTCGTTATTTTAAGAATTATAGAGGCACAAATTAAAAGATTTGAAATTGACAACTTTCCCCCCCATTTCACTGAAACAGACGCTGAACACTTCCTTTTTACTTTTATTTTCTCATTGAAACCAAGTAGCGTCTTTGATATGTCTTTTGTCTTCTCACGCGATCAAATCGGAACAGTCTATTATTTATGATGTATGAACAGGACCGATTAAACACGCTTTTCTTTCACTAAAACCAAGTAGCGTCCCTGAGAGGTCTTTTGTCATTGCACGCGATCAAAACGATCATTATTCATGAGATATTGACAGGGCGTAACGGTCGTGCCAACTAAGGAACTAACAAAAGGACAAACAAGCACAACAATTATATGATAATAATATTCACTTAATACGAGTCGAAAGAGCCACTCAATGTAGAGGGTTAGTGTGGAGTGTTGCAAGAGTGTAAGAAATATTAAGAGATGAAGTTCATTCGTTATGTAGGAAAGTTAAAGGTTAACTCTAGACATGAAGATGACAATGGAAATGTCCTACCCGGAGTCTTTTGCACAAAGCAGCAGTTTTTTTTTTATATAAAAAGAAGGTGAGAGGAACTTACTCTTTACTAATGGAATATGAAGCGAATGTGGATGTGTGTGCGTGATATGATGGGTACCAGATGTAAAGGACAGTCTTGTATTCATACGCAAATCTATCTATCTATCTATCTATCTATCTATCTATCTATCTATCTATCTATGTCTATTATTTCTTACTCTCCAACTTTTCTTTACGTATCTATCTATCTATCTATCTATCTATCTATCTATCTATCCTAGGTTGTTCCTATGTATATCTATCTATCTATCTATCTATCTATCTATATATCTATCTATCTATCTATTCTAGGTTGTTCTTATCTATCTATCTATCTATCTATCTATCTATCTATCTATCTATCTATCTATCTTAGGCTGTTCGTATATATGTATGTATACATGTATGTAGACATGTATGCATACATGTATGTATGTATCTGTCTATCGTAAGCTGTCGGTATGTATGTATGTATGTATGTATGTATGTATGTATCTATCTATCTATCTATCTATCTATCTATGTCTATTATTTCTTACTCTCCAACTTTTCTTTACGTATCTATCTATCTATCTATCTATCTATCTATCTATCTATCTATCTATCTTAATATTTTAATCTACTTTGTTTCTTTCCAGCTGTTTCATATCTATCTATCTATCTATCTATCTATCTATCTATCTATCTATCTATCCTATCCTAGGTTGTTCCTATCTATCTATCTATCTATCTATCTATCTATCTATCTATCTATCTATCTATCTATTCTAGGTGGTTCTTATGTATGTATGTATGTATGTATGTATGTATCTATCTATCTTAATATTTTAATCTTGTTCTTTCTTTCCACCTGTTCCTTATCTATCTATCTATCTATCTATCTATCTATCTATCTATCTATCTCTCTATCTATCTATCTATCTATCTATCTATCTATCTATCTAAGGATGTTCATATCTATCTATCTATCGATCTATCTATCTATCTATCTATCTATCGTGTGTGTGTCAAAAGAAATCTGTTTTTGTTTCTTTGTTTTTTTTTTTAAAGAGATTGTGTTTCCTTCCTTCTAGTTTTTGAGGCGTAAAATAGTTTCCGTTACGGCATATCATCATCATCAGCAGCAGCTATCCTGGAGAGTATCCAAAAGAAAGGGCGGTCAACGAAGCCAATGACCCAGCTTCGATGAACAGCCCTTGAGTCACTGCGCAATTTCCTTCTTATCGTTGTTATCAGAGATTGGATCCCGGCCAACGGCGACTGTTCTCTTTAAGCGTTCCTTTTCGATTACCCTCTCTCTCTCTACCTTCACTGTCTCTTTCACCCTTCGTTTATGCCTCGTTTGAATATCGCTATCGTGTTCATTACAGCATTCAATAAGAGTCACTTTCCCACTATGTTGAGCATTTTCATTGTCTTTCTGTTTGCAAAAGACTCTTATGTACCTACAATAAATCTCTATTGTTTTTAATCGGTATCACCCCAAGCAAGGCATTAAAGCCACTAAGACGCAAGAGATCACATAGTATCTAAGAATTACGGACAGAAATATTAATGAGCAAAAAGATAAAAGAGTAATCAGGAGGAGAGTAGATAGCGATTGATATTGCATTTAAATGTTTGCAGATTAAAGTTGTCTGGAAAGCATGGAGTCCGAAAGGAATTCCACAATCGAATAGTGCGAGAAAAAAAACTGTTAGCATTGAACTTACGGCTACATCTAGCCAGCTCAACTGTAACTTTATGAGACCTCATCGCCAGTCTAGTACTGCACTTACATTCATGAAGTCTAGGTACCATAGCGAAGATCTCACCCGAACAATTACCATGAAATTATTTATAGAAAGGACACAGGGAAGCAAGCTTACAGTGGTGAGAAAGGGACTGAAGCCGAACCGACAGATCAGGACCAATAATATTGCAGATAAATAGCAGGTGCACCGGACCATATGTGGCAGTAATATTCGAAGCGTAGACGAAGGTTAGATCTATAGATATGTGTTATGCCTGAACATACCTATTCTATTATTAATAGACTCTCCCACACATAATAAGTAGTAGTAGTAGTAGCGGTCGCCAGTGGAGCTCAGTGGAGTTGAGTGAGTCAGTCGATGTCGGACATTGAAGTATTAGATTGGTGCAAAAATAATGACGTAATAATGTCGTTTTTGACGTATTTTTTAAGATCAAAAAACGACATTATTACGTCATTATTTTTGCACCAACCTAATATCAACCATCACAACTAGATTGCTGCGTCATTAACTCTTATTTCAAGTTCCTAACGTTTTGTACGTCGAACCTAATTTAGGACGACATTGAAATACAAGCCTCCACTGTGAAAACTACTCTACAACAATATGTAAGATAGATTCTGGGGCGAAAAATTGTCTTGCATGACACTGAACGTATATTCGTAGCAGCTGACCTAGCAATGGTGTTTTTACAGGTAAGAATGTATAGCTTTCCTTTACATAGCATTTCATACACTTATGTATTATATGTGAACATAGTTTACATAAAATGAGCGCTGAAAATCTCTCGGCCAGACGAGGAAGAGATTTTAAAGAATTCTGATATTTTGTTTATTATTATTGATTTGGGAATGTGATTCAGGTTGAGGACATTTCTGCATTGCTCGGTCATATAAACTCTTTCATACAATATCTCGCCGTTGAATATAAGCAAAATTTGAATCCCCTGAAAAAAGTTATCTGTACCTGAGTGCGCTTGCCTCGTAAGGAATCTAAAACAATAAATTAGGATCGCCAATTAACCCTAAATCTAACCCTAACCCAATATTAGAAAAACACAATACGATCGTTTTACAAATAACAAGAAATACTATTTCATAAAGACTGATATTTGTAGATATCTCATGGACTGCGGGTCAGTGGCAAAAACAGTATATAGCAATATATGCATTTTTTATTCATCTGCATTATGCAAAGAACATTTACATTCTTAATGCATCTACCAAATATGTATGCATCTACACCTCTCACATGGGTTTTTGTAACGTATCATCGACTATTATTTCCAATAAAAAAAAATTCAAATATCCTAAGATTTTCGCAATTGATTGAACAACATTATTCTAACCGTTTTGTCATTCTCTGATATAATAATAATAATAATAATAATAATAATGATAATAATAATAAAAATAATAATAATAAAAATAATAATAATAAAAATAATAATAATAAAAATAATAAAAATGATAATAATTATTATTATTATTTGCCTCAATTGACTTTTAAATAGAATTTGGTTATTCGTCGCAGTCTTAGAATTAAAAAAAATATATTTTTGCATTTCCAAGTCAAGTTTATTTATCAACCGTAACTCGTTAGCGATGTAAGCGACTCGGAATGAGAAATCGCAGAACTGAGTACGATTTCCACACGAGTTCGTTACATTTACTTACGCACGAAAAATCCTTGAGAAAGGTATGAATACCTCCATTCTTCCCAATCCTCAGCCTTGAACAGGACAATACGGGCTCTATAAGCCTTGCTAGGTAACCAGTCTAGGAGAAGGAAAAGTCTGAATCCAAACCTAAGATGAACCGCTTCTGCTGCTAATGGTTTACGTGACACGAGATCGTGAATTCATCTTTGGGCATATTGGTCGGTTATACGACCCCTAGCAATTCACCCCTGAATATGATCTTGGATGAGGTTGAAAGTATTTTGGAAAATAAAAGAAATGTAAAAAAAAAAAGAACTACGGCGTCTTCTTTAATGGATTTAATATCAACATTAAGAAGTTGATCCGAGAATTCGAAAGGTTTATAATAAATAGACATAATATATTCAGATTATTCAACCAAACATGCTTGTAAGAAGATATGCTGCCTATACATGCATATACACACACACACACACACGCACACACACAGACACACACACACACACACACAGACACACACACATATATATATATATATATATATATATATATAAATTGCTGTTGTTTGTATGTGCGTGTGTCCAACTAACACTAAAAAGTACAAGAATTCATGATAAAATAAATTTAGATACAGACTCATTTATCACCCAAGCCAGGTTTTTGTAAAAAAATATCATCGTATGATTTGTATTTACAAAGATATTTTAAAATTAAAATGCATTCGAAATTCTCAAAATTAAAAAGTCAAAATGAACGAATCGGATTACCGTTCGTTTTTACATTTTTATTCTATTAAACGCTGTACAAGTATGTATTTTTAAAATTTTTATTCTCTTGAATTTATTTCCACATCTACAGGAAATAAAAGCGTAACTTTAAAAAATGATTATTAAAACAACAAAGTAAATTTAAAAGAAGAAGAATATTAAATACAATTATTTTCCAAAAAGTGTAATATTTATTTATTCAAATAGTCGATTGTGCGTGTGTTCAGCTAAAACTTAAAAACTACAATAATTAACGTGTGTGTGTATAATTGAATTATTAAAATTTTTTGGCCATCTTACTGAAAATCATTTTATTCGATCTTTAAAAATAAACTTCATTGGTTTTTTGGTTTGTAACTAACATAAAAAAGTAAATAATTTTCACTTAAGTTTTGTTAAAGCAAAAAACTATAGCTAGTCCTATTTATTCGGAAATTTAAATAAAATATACTTAAATTTATAAAATAAATATTCAACACGACTGATGTTGATCGTAAGTAATTTCTGTCTCTGCTAATTTTGATTTAACTAATTTTTTTATTTTTCAAATACAAATACATCTTGAAATTTAAATATCATCGCTTTTCAAAATTTATCGGCATTCAATAACCCATTGAGGTTGATATGGCGTAAATCAGTTTTGTAAAGATGGTTTTCGTCGTGATTCAAGTGTATTTTTTTTTTTAAATGTATTGCTATCTTTTTTTTTTTTACTATAAAATGTCTTTTTTCACTTTCATACTGTATCGACCCCAGTTTTGGGGAGGGGGTAATTATTCGCCCATAGCTGGGATCCTAACAAGTGCTCCAACGCCGGTTCTGAGTGGGACTGGGAACAACAGTAATTAAAAAGTGGTTCCTCGCCTATGAGATATACATGGAGGCACAATAGTGTTTTGGATGAGCTGGTCAGAATCATAAAGAAATATATGAAGTCTGAGTCATCTAATTCAGCCCAGGAATTTGTTGCAGAAGGAAAAAGATATGTCGGCTCTAAGCAAACAAGCAAATGTCATGCTATACCCGTTAAAAATCTCCTTAGTTCTGGTGGCATCTGGGAGGTATCTGCAGACCTTCCTGGTTGGCGTAATGATTACCCCAAAATAATATCAAGTAAAGGTCTGCGATCAGATATTGTTCTTCTGTCAAGAGTGAACCATAAAATCATCCTGGTTGAATTAACAGTACCATATGAATGCCGGATGGAACAAAGCCACGATTATAAAACAAATAAATATGAAATTCTAAAGCCAGAGCTAATAAAGGAGGGGTATAATGCAATTGTTAGAGCAGTGGAAATTGGAGCAAGGGGTTTCGTTTCAGGCACTCTGTACCAATTTCTGGGCCAAATTGGAATCAAAGGGCGTAATAGGGCCAAAAAGTATAAAACGCCTAATAGAAGTAACAGAAAATAGTTCTATGTGGATATGGAAAAAACGAAATACTCCGTGGAGTGTTTCAGCGAACATGACGGCATGACATGTCTGATCGTGAATGCATAAGGAGGTTCACGTTGCATTCTCAGAACGCGAGGTTTGCCGTTTTTCGGAATTTTCGTAAATTTAATTTCGCCGTTACACATTTGATCTAGATTATCTACAACACTTTTATATCGTTATAATGGGGCCTCGCATCAGTGAGGGGGGCCGGTGTGAAACTGAAACCGTTGAGAGGAAGGCACCGAAACGGTGCACATTTTCTCCTGATGACCCCAGTTTAAAATTCGAGAGGAACACATCAAAATTCAGTGAAATCATATGCCGTAGAGAAGCTCGGTGGAAGTGTCATTGGCATGAGGAGCATTATACATTCAGCTCGCTTCAGGTGAGTTTCAATTACTTTCCAGTAATTTCCTTCTTGAGATCCTCCCGACCAGAGGCCTTGCTTCCGAACATAATTTATCGTCATACCCAGGATGAAAATTTATTAAATATGTATGCATGTAGAAGTATGCAAAAAGGGCTCTTATATATGTATGTACACATATGTAAAAGTGTGTATATATATATATATATATTTAACATACAACATGTGTTATATATATATAAATTCATGAATCATTCATACAAAAAAACAAATATAGAGGTTAATGAATTAAATGGCGAGAATACTTCGTCGAAAACTATATAAATAAGATACATCAACCCCGAACCTGTATATGAATGATATGATCCCCGTTTATAAATTCCAGTTGCATAA